AACCGAACTCTCAGAAGTTGTCATATGATGGATGCGATGTGTAAAAGATCTCATAAGGAGTACGACCAGCCATCAAAGGAGTAGGAGTACAGTTAATCAGATAAGCAGCGCTAAGAACACTTTCACCCCAAAACTTAGTAGGTAGATTAGCTTGGAAGAGAAGCGACATCGCCACGTTGAGAATATGACGATGCTTGCGCTCTACTCGTCCATTTTGTTGAGGAGTGTAGACGCAGGAAGTTTGATATTGGATGTCATGGTCTTTAAAGAAAAAACAAAGAGAAACAAACTCACTTCCATTGTCACTCCGAATAATTTGAACTTTCTTTCCAAATTGTTGTTTGGCCATCGCGACAAAGTGCTTAAGATGTGTAGTCACTTCATTTTTTGCCAGAAGGAAAGGTCCATACAGCCCGTGAGTGATCATCAACTATGGTGATAAATAGTGTGCTCCACATGAAGAAGCAAGTTTGTAGGATCCCCAAACATCGAAATGCATCAAAATAATATATTTAGCCGTTTTATTAATGCTTTCATAAAAAACTGATCTGTTTGTTTTGTTTGGATACAAACTTCACAAAATATCATTGCTAGTACTACTAGGAGCAGTAAAATCCGGTAGGATAGATAAAAACTTGATAACATATTTACAGACGGGTGTTCCAAAAGTTCATGTCACAAAATCTTACTTGATTTTTGAACACGATTTGCCTGAGTCGAGACCACACCATGAAAGTGATAAACCCTCCCCCCCTCTTTCTCTCTTCACCTGCTCCAATTAATATCTTCGAAGTGTGGTCCTTTATAACACAAACTTTGTAAATAAACATGGCAAAACAGGACGTTTCACGGAGTAGGCATGCAAGAGAGATGAGAGTGCAGGAAAGATCCAGAACAAAAAAAACTTAGGCTAGTTTTATATGATCGCCAAGTTCATAGTTTCTCTTTGGTAGCAAAAGTATGCTTGCTGTTTACGAGAACAATGATGCTGCAAGGGATCTCATGCACATCCACAAGTAAATCCTCATCTCCTGTTATATGATGAGAGGCTCCAGAGTAAGCAAAAGCTCAACACAAGAGTGTTTACCAGAAAGTTTGTCGTGGCTTTGTGAAGACTCAGATTTTAAGAGATTGATAAATGGCAGACCATGTCTCCTTACTTACACCAGGAAGATCTGGGTTGTCATTGTTATCACTAGCAGTTTGAGCATTGTTTGCACGGTAAGTAGAAGAACGGCCACGTCCTCTTCACGGTAAGATCCTCGACCACGACTGCGAGTAGACTCAGACTAAGAAGATCCACGATAATCACCATATTTCTCAGTATACAACTCTGGTACACCGTGGAATTGGAAACATGTATCAGCTGAGTGGTTGTTTTGTCTGCAGTGAGTACATGGTCCCTGATTTGATCGCATAACAGATGCAATGGCATTAACACCTGCTTTGACTGCAAAACCAACTGCTTTGATGCGATCCTCTTTGCTTTGAGAAACTGTTTGATGTCATTCTTCAGAGATAACTTCAGAGTAGATTTGGTCAAGACTCATGTCAGTTTCTCGGTTTAGATGACTCAGAATTTTGGTGCGAGTAGTACCACACCGAGATGCATCAAGTCCCATAAGAAACTGATGTATTCGCTCAAGATCTCGATGCTGAAGCTGCTTCATACGTTGAGGGCAAGTCGAATTGCTGCAGCAATAATTGATGAATGGCTCGAAATCATCAAGATCATCCCACTTGATTTTGAGTTTTCCAAAATAATTCGCAATCTCTTGTTCATCTTGAGTACAGCCAACAATAGAAGCTTTGATTTGATGAACACGTGATGCATTTCCAATAGAGTAACGAGTCTTCAGATTGTCCCACATAGATTTAGCATTATCGACAAAAGATATTGCCTTTTGAACCATCGGATCGAGACTGCGTAGAGCCATCCGCAAAGCATGGAGTTAGTTTGAATCCATCACTGGTAGTCATTAGAAGTAGCTACAGGTTTGGGCAGAGAACCATCAATAAAACCGAGCTTGTGTTTCACCACAAGGTTATTACGAGCTAACTTGGCCCACTTATTATCACCAGTGAGTAGCATAGGATTCAAGACATGGTGGGCATAGTCCGAGAAAGAAAGGTAATATGGAGAAGAATAAATCGTACCCATCGAGTAGATAGTTAAGATAATAGTTGAAAACTTTAGGAAGAAGAAGGCGATTTAGGTTTTTTTTTTTTTAGAAAAATAAGGTTTTGGAATTTTTTCCATAGCTCTGATATTATGTGAATTTGTATAGAATACCTTGAGTTTTTTTATTGATATAATAAAACTATATATAGTTACAAAGAGCATGCTGTGCAAGTATATAAAGAATATACACAAAGATATGCTAACTAACAAATTGGAAAAAAACGCTCGCTTCAATATGAGAGCCATTCTTTAAAGTTATTGATTTCATAAATAAGAAATTTCTCAAATAATTCTCCATCATCTCTGGGTTCAGCCCAATAATTTCTGTTTCATTAAAAAAATTTATGCTATCTGTATTTTTAAAATTTTAATTTTAAATATTAAATTTCTATTTCATTTTATATTTTCATTTAATAATATAAATATAGTAAATTTATTTTTATTTTATTTTTATAAAATAATTTAAATTCATAAAAACACCCTCAAAAATTACAAACGTCGAATATCCCTTTGAAATTAAACATGGAAAAATTCTTTGAAAATTATAAATTTTTCAGATTTAAACATGTGAAAAATTCTTTAAAATTTTTTATGGCTGCCGAATATCATTAGAAATTAGAGACTATTATCGAAAATATTTGTGCATTGAAAAATCCATCAGATATATAAATTATTCAGAAGTCATATAAAAGCTGAAAGATTTCTGACAGATCTATTTTTCTGGTTGGATTGATCCTATCACTAGTATCTTTTGGAAAAACTAATTTTCAAAGAACATTTCAACAGATATAACCATCAAAAATAGATCATTTTTAGGAAAATATGAAATTTTATAAATTAGAATTGTTAAACTAAAAACTTAATTGATCTATAAAAAGAAAAAAAAAAATCAATTTCCTTTACATTTTAAAATATCCATGTATACAAGATTATATTAGATCTCATGTGATATGCGAATTATTCAAAAGTCATATAAAAGCTGAATTTCTGACAAATCTATTTTTTTGGTTGGATTGATCCTACCACCATTATCTGTTGGAAAAATTAATTTTCCAAGAAAATTTCAACAGATATAACCATCAAAAATAGATCGCTTTTCTGTAAGAAAATATTAAATTTTATTTATTAGAATTGTTAAACTAAAAACTTAATTGATCTATAAAAATAAGAAAATCAATTTCCTTTACATTTTAAAATATCCATATACAAGACCAGATTGGATCTCATGTGATCTGCGATTAAAATATAAATATTTTTATTTTAAATTTTTAATCTGCATATTATGATCTGAATAATTATATTTTAAAATATAAATCTTTGTTTAGTTTTTTTTTTAAATTAAATTTTGTATTTAAAAATAAATAAAATAAAAATTAATCCGTATTAACCCTAAACAATTCCTCTTAATAATGAGAAGGTTCGGAATTTTTTTCTAATCGTATTATATAAAACTACTTCACCTTTTGATTTTCTTAGTTTCTATTTTTTTGGGTAAATAAATTAATAAAAACTAAAAAAATTATAATTTTTAATAATGGCATGATCTAATTTTGTTTTTTTGTCGTCAGTTGATTTCATTACTTGATCAAATGTTACGTTGGCCATCTGATTACATAATTTTGTGAAACTGTTCTGGCCTGTTTTGCCAGACTATCCGCATCACAATTGATATTGCGCTTGATTTTCTTAAATGTGTAACCATTTGGTTGTGGCATTATCTAATTTAACAAGGACACATGTTATAATATTGTGAATTATCTTTATTGTATATATCATGCTCGCATTTAGCATGCTCAGCTCTATATAATAAAATTCAGATAAATTTTTTTTCCAACATTAATCATCCAAATTACACAAAACTTATGAGTTATGAGAGGACACAAGATATCTTCCTAATGCGTCCATAGAAAAAAAAGTAATAACATACAAATATTTATTATAATGTATATTATCACTATATAAATGCCTGTGAAAAATAAAATAGAAAACAAAATGAGATCACCATAAAAATATTTAATACATAAATTTAAAAATAAAATTATCAACAATCATAATAATATTTAAATACAAAATAATATGACTACAATAATTAAAGCTAGATTATTATACATGATTACACTGATGTTATACCATTTTAGCATTAACCTAACATGAGTAGCATGAAAAACAAAATAATTACATGTATCTTATGAACTACAACGATTACTAAAAAAACAATTTTTTATGAATTTGTAATCTATTGTTTAATTTTCCTTATGCTAAACTGAAATATATTTTTTTGTTATAAATTGTGGTTTTTATTTCTTGATTTTTCCACCAATTATAGAATTTTATAGAATTTTTGGTTGTTATAAAATCTTATCGATTCACTAGACACATGTCATGATCTGATGACTTACTAACTTTGAATCATTCTCCTTTATATAATAAGATAAGAAGTCATATAAAAAAAAAATTGGTACTTTGGGTATGAAAGATGGGATGAAATCAAAAGAGGAGAATCTCTAATACTTTCATCTTCCTGCAAAAAGCACAATAAAAAAAGTATATAATTAGTTTAAACTAAATTCAGAATTAGAACACAAAATATGTATATAAAATAGTATTAGAAAAAAAAAACATTAAACATGAAATATAAAACTAACCATTGCATAGAATTAATTCCCGTCAGGCCGTCCTACTTGCATATTTGCATGTATGTGGCTGAGAATTGTTTTTGTTTATTTTTTTAATCAAGATGGCTGAGAATGTGTGCGCGTATATATAAACACAACCTATTGCCAATGATATAGTGCCTAAACTGAACCCAAGAAGTAAAATGGAGAGAATTGATGCAAAATTCGCTAAACTCGGTTCCCAACTTGCAAAATTTCGTTCCCCTTTCTTCCTCTACTTGTTTTACTTCTTTTCCTTTTCGGTGTTAGGGTTCTTGGCACTCAAGATCTCAAAGCCAAGAACTACTTCACGTCCTCATGACTTGGATATCTTCTTCACTTCTGTCTCCGCAATCACTGTATCTTCCATGTCCACAGTCGATATGGAAGTCTTCTCCAACACCCAACTTATCATCATCACTATCCTCATGTTCCTCGGTGGCGAGATATTCACCTCTTTCCTCCAACTCTACTTCTCACATTTCACCAAATTTGTCTTTCCTCATTACAAGATTGGACATCATATGGGCTCTTTCAACTTGGAATGTCCGATCACTGATCCGGGTAGTGATCTTGAGAATGTTACTGATCATGTCAAGATTTCTAGTCAGATCAATGAAAGGGCCTCTAAGTGTTTGTACTCGGTGGTTGTTAGTTACCTTCTTGTAACAACCATAGCTGGTTCCACGTTGCTTCTTGTGTACGTAAACTTCGTTAAAACGGCGAGAGATGTTCTTAGTTCCAAAGAAATCTCACCTCTCACCTTCTCGGTCTTCACAGCTGTCTCCACGTTCGTAAACTGCGGATTTGTCCCCACAAACGAGAACATGGTCATCTTTCGTAAGAACTCGGGTCTTCTCTGGCTCCTTATCCCTCAAGCACTGATGGGAAACACTCTGTTCCCTTGCTTCTTATTTTTTCTCGTATCGGGACTTGATAAGATCACAAAGCGCGACGAATTTGGTTATATTCTCAAGAATCACAAGAAGATGGGATATTCTCATTTACTCTCCGTTCGCCTTTGTGTTCTTCTTGGTTTGACAGTGTTAGGGTTTGTGATGATACAGTTTCTTCTCTTCTGCACCTTTGAGTGGAACTCTGTGTCTCTTGAAGGGATGAATTCGTACGAGAAGATAGTTGTCTCGTTGTTTCAAGTGGTGAACTCGAGACAGACCGGAGAAACAGTTGTCGACTTTGCTACACTTTCTCCAGCTATCTTGGTACTCTTTATCCTCATGATGTGAGTTATTCTCTCTCTCTCTCTCTCTCTCTCTCTCTCTCTCTCTCTCTCTCTCTCTCTCTCTCTCTCTCTCTCTCGCATACATTTGCATGGACTAAATGTTGTGAATAATTCCGTTCCAATTCATAGAGCGGATGGAACATACCAAAAAAAGGATGTACTTCAAAAGTACAATGTTTTTTTTTGGTAGGCTCCATCTGCTAACTCCGCACATTGTAGTCATAATAGATACCAAAAATTTGACTTTATGCATGCATATATATATAAAAGCATTACTAGGTCAAAGTTTTTTTTTTTTTTTTTGAGAAAGAACTAGGTCAAAATTGTTCTAACTCTTTATTTTTCCTTAAGTTATCGATAGATTGAGTAAATATTTCACCAAATAAATGCACCCTCTCTTCATTTTGTTTGTTGTCTTGCGTTGCGTCTTTTGTAGTTTTTGTCTTTTCTCATATTGCAATATATGCATAGAATTATATCGGCCGTCTGTATAACGTAGGGTCGAATTGAAGCTAGAGAGGTGGGAGTGGGTGCAATTAACTTAAAAGCTATCTATTTAACATAAACAACAATAAATATTATATCGTATTTGTTTTTTATTTTTGTATAAAACGATATTATAGTATTTAAAGAGTTTTTTCTTATTTATTAATTTAATTTTTTTTGGTAAAAATTTTATTAATTTAATATTTATGCCTCCAGTGAAAATTATTTGTGGATTTGCCTCTGTGTACGTGAAGAAACATTTGTTGTTGTATATGCAAGATCGCCACATGAAAGATGGTCGAGTTTTACAAAAACACTAGATTTTTACCTCGTGTATCTGCACGAGAATTCTTTTTAATCAAAATTTGTAATGTAATTTATGTTTTCTTTATAGATATAATTTTTCTGTTAAATGACACAAATTTATATTTGTGTTTAGACATAATTTGTTTTTTTTTTTAAATTTAATATTATTTTGATCACGATCATAAAAACGTAATTCTAATCCGGTCATTCTATTAATAAAAAAATGACCGTTTTTATATAAAAAAATCTAACTTGTTCATTATATTAATCCAAAAAGAACCGTAGTTATAAAACCATAATTCTAACATCCACGTTCATATCACTATATAATATAAATATTTACTAATTTTGAAATAATTTTTATCTCAACTCGCATAAGATCACAATTATAAAAAAAATCTAACTCGTTCCATCAAATCATTATATAATATTAATATTTATCGGTTTTCAATATGTAAAATTTTAGTGTAATTGAATATGATTAAAAAATATAATAAAGTATTCATTAATCATATGTGTTATTCTGAAAATATTATTTAAATTTCAAAAATTAAATTAAATCTAACATATATTTAAGGAAGTCTAAAGTAATTTAAATTAATATCTATTTTTTAGAATTAAATTTAATTACAAAAAATAGTTTGAATTAATAACCTATATTTAAAGAATCTTTAATTATCTAAATTAATATCTAATTTTTGGAATTCAATTTATATATAAAAGAAAATATGTTTTTAAAACAATATTGCAATAAATTAGGATAATTTTAATTTTTTTCTAAATATTTTTTTTTTAAAACATTAAGATTTTTTGAAATCAAGTACTAAAAGTGCTTTTGTTTTAATATAATAGATATATACCATTTAGCTAATTTTCATACAATGGTAATAAAAACTTTTACGTAACAATTATTGTTTATTTTTGTTAAAAAAAAAACAATGATTTTTTATTCTAAACCACAAATACGCTAAAAGTAAAAAAGACATTATATATTTTATTTAAGATTCTTTAGCACGTGTCGATTAAACATATGAGCGAATGAGAAGCTAATATATAGAAAGCTTATTTTACTAATTGATATAATAAGAACCTTTGACTAATTTTGGTGGGGTTCCAAATTTTCTCAAATAAGAGAAAAGTCAGTGATTTTGTCAAGATTTCCACAATCTTTACGCTACAAAACTTTTCAGGAATGTTTCAGTAGATTTTTCAAATTGCTTTTAAGTAGGAGGTAGGATAAAAATAAAATTAGTTAAATAGATACTCAAAATTTAATTTAGAAAATGATAGAAAACATATGCATACTCAATGATGTTTTATAGAAATCATAAATTAAAAATTTGTCTAAAACAAAACAATGCACCAAAGAAATTTGTATAATTTTTTTCTTACAAAAAATAATTATTTTCTTTTTGGATAGTGAAATTTAATAATTAGCTTGATAAATTAAAACTATGAAAATTATAAATTGAGAGAATAATTGTATGTAATTATCTATATACCTATTCTTATATGCATAAATATATGTAAATATGCCAGAATGGTGCGGATATCTAGCTTTTAAATATATAGTATTTGTGATTTTTTAATGGATATTAAATTCAATATTTGCTTTGTTCTTTAGAGTTACGACTATTCGGATTTTTTTCAGACCGAATCGAAATAGATCATAGATCGAATCAAAATCAACGGATATTTTGTCTAAATCTAAGATTTTATTTATAATATTAACATGTGGCACGTGCCCCAATCTTTAGAACGTGGGTCTGCTCCTGAAGGTAATGGAGAATGTCACGTACTCCAATTAACCATATTAAGAAAGCATTATTTGGTTGTTTATAAATAATAGCAACTACGGATCAACTAGTATAGTGGTTTGTATGATTAATGCATTGGTTTGTCGTATCCTAGAATGGGTTCAAAACTAATATACATATGTGAGGTATATATATAGTCTAATTAGTATATTTAATTGCGTTGACAAGGTATCTTCCTCCGTACACGTTGTTTATGCCGTTGACCGAAGAGAAGACCAAGAGAGAAGGAGAGGATCACTGTGGAAATGAAAAGAAGGGAAAGAAAAGTGGATTTTTTGTTTCACAACTTTCCTTTTTGGCAATATGTGTCTTTTTTATTTCTATCACCGAAAGCCAAAATCTACGACGAGATCCACTCAATTTCAACGTCCTTAACATCACTCTCGAAGTGATCAGGTATGTTTTTATACCATTATTTAACATTAATTCGACGATTTTGACGTTGATATAGAGGAAAGAATATTTTTCTAAAAACCTTTGATAACCCAGTATTTTTTTACAATTTAATTGTTTTCTTTTGATATGAAGACAAATGACAACTAACAAATCAGTTTTAGCAACAAAAAAAAAACACTAACAAATTAGAGTGCGTTGAGTACTTCCTACTTAACTAGGTTAGGAAATCTAAACATTGTCTTTACGATTTTATTTGATATATATGAATTAACTGCTATAAAGTATAAACCGAAATGTTTAGAAAACATTTAGCATAAGAAAAAAATCAACCGTAGTTACAAAAGGAAAAAAGGAAAAAATAAATGGACTGAAACTCCTATAAATTTTTTTTCAACTACTCAAACATTCAATTACTTATTGTAATGGCAGCGCATTTGGAAATGTCGGGTTCACAACTGGTTACAGCTGCGAACGGCGCCTAGACATCAGCAACGGTGGCTGCAAAAATGAAGGTTATGGGTTTGCAGGACGATGGAGCCCCACTGGAAAATTCGTACTAATAATAGTAATGTTTTATGGTAGATTTAAGCAGTTTACAGCCAAATCTGGCCGAGCATGGATACTTTATCCCTCCTCTTCGTGAAATGTCAATAGGTCGTAGTTTTCCAGCTTTTTGTGTGTGATGTACTCTATAAGCTTGTGTTTAGTACTCATATATCGTTGATAAATCAATAGAAAAGTTATGATGAATATCATATAAACAGTAACCAATTCATAATATTATTATATATATAGAAAATCACGTAAATACAGGCTTTTTTTAAAAAAAAAATTCACGTAAGTTATTAAATGATCAATTCTAGTTCATTTGATTTTTTTTTTGCAGTTTATTAGGGGTTTTTTCCCTTAATTTTTTTTTGGTCGAAAATGTTAAGGTTTTTTCCCTTATCACTTATGCTATGTTAATAAGGGGGAATATCATTTAGATACGATCATACAACATAAACATTTTTTTTTGAACATTATACAACATAAACATACAACATAAACATTGTAACAATATTTTAGAGAGACCACCAAAATCGGTTGCGAATTTTCTGTACATAATATTTTTGACGACTACCACACCAGTCTCTGTTTTATATAAACGTATTACAATTCATGATATATCATTTACAGAACGGCTTGTTTTCTTCACCGCTAACTATTTTAAAATTTTCTGAACTTCTGAACTGCTAAATACAAAATAAAAATCGTTAGATCATTTGAAAATTGAGCTATTGCATTCCAAAAAGGTACAATATATTGCAGAAAAATGACGACACAAAGACTTGTTTTGTAGGAAATTTGAAATAGTGATCCAATTTACACAACTAACAAAGCAGTTGTGTGGGCTATATATATTAATACAGTAAAACTTCTATATATTAATACTATACTAGTTAATTTGTCCACGCACGTCTTGCATGGACTATATATATCTATCAAATGTAATTTATAAATAAATAATTTTAAGAGCATTAAATTTTTTTCATCTCTGTTCTAAGTTAGACGAATCCGAAATTTACAAATAAACTTTTAATTTTAGTAAAAAGGTAATGAGGTTTGAAGTAGTATATAGATAAGAAATCAAAAATCATAATCTAGATATAATAATTAACGACATTTCATTAGACATAATGTATATATTTTATTTCTTGTTTTTTAAAAAAAATTTCAGTTTTATATAATTTAAAAACTGGTTGATTAGACATTCCATTAATTTTTAAATAGATTCCAGTTTTTTTTTTTTTTTTTTAACATTTTTGTTAGATTTGTTTTTTTTTTAATTTCGCTAACATAAAAATAGTAATCATTAAGTTTTTTTGTTTCTTTTAACATTTTTGTTAGATATTTTTCTAAATTTCGGTAACATAAAAAATGGTAATCATTAAGAGATATAGTTTCCATATTTGTTTTTATTTTAAAACCGTTTATGTTATTTAAAAAAAACGTTTTTGTTAATTTTTTTCTAAATTTTAGTTTTATATAATTTTAGAAACGGTTTAATTGACTATAAAATTAAACATTAAACCATAATAATTTGGACCAGTTTGTTTTAAGTTTTTTACACATCAGCAGATAATAGCCAATAAAAAATAACACATAATTATTAAATGGAGCTAAACAGTCTTTTTGTAGCTGAAATTGATTCTGGAGCTAACACGTAAGTGAAAAGTTGTGAAACTCGCTATAAACGCGACACATAAGCAAATCACTACACAAATAAGTATATAGATTTTATTTCTTGTTTTTTTATTTTTTATTATTTTTTCTAAATTTCAGTTTTATATAATTTTAAAAACGGGTTGATTGGACATTCCATTAATTTTTAAATAGATTTCAGTTTTTGTTTTTTTTCTTTACAATTTTGTTAGTTTTTTTTTAAAATTTTGGTAACATAAAAATGGTAATCATTAAGTTTTTTTGTTTCTTTTAACACTTTTGTTAGATTTTTTCTAAATTTCGGTAACATAAAAAATGGTAATCACTAAGAGATATAGTTTCCATATTTATTTTTATTTTAAAAACGTTTATGTTATTTAAAAAAAAAACGTTTTTGTTAATTTTTTTCTAAATTTTGGTTTTATATAATTTTAAAAACGGTTTAATTGACTATAAAATTAAACATTAAACTATAATAATTTGGACCAGTTTGTTTTAAGTTTTTTTACACATCAGCAGATAATAACCAATAAAAAAATGACACATAATTATTAAATGGAGCTAAACAGTCTTTTTGTAGCTGAAATTGATTTTGGAGCTAACATGTAAGCGAAAGGTTGTGAAACTCGCTGTAAACGCGACACGTAAGCAAATCACTACAAAAATAAGTATATAGATTTTATTTCTTGTTTTTTTTTATTATTTTTCTAAATTTCAGTTTTATATAATTTTAAAAACGGGTTGATTGGACATTCCATTAATTTTTAAATAGATTTCAGTTTTTGTTTTTTTTTTTACATTTTTGTTAGATTTTTTTTGTTAAAATTTTGGTAACATAAAAATGATAATCATTAAGTTTTTTTGTTTCTTTTAACATTTTTGTTAGATTTTTTCTAAATTTCGGTAACATAAAAAACGGTAATCATTAAGAGATATAGTTTCCATATTTGTTTTTTATTTTAAAAATGTTTATGTTATTTTTTTTGAAAAAAACGTTTTTGTTAATTTTTTTCTAAATTTTAGTTTTATATAATTTTAAAAACGGTTTAATTGACTATAAAATTAAACATTAAACTATAATAATTTGGACCAGTTTGTTTTAAGTTTTTTTACACATCAGCAGATAATAACCAATAAAAAAATGACACATAATTATTAAATGGGGCTAAACGGTCTTTTTGCAGCTGAAATTGATTCTGGAGCTAACACGTAAGCGAAAGGTTGTGAAACTCGTTGTAAACGCGACACGTTAGCAAATCACTACACAAATAAGTATATAGATAAATTATTAATTACTGTAAAATTATAAATTTTTCTGGTTCCGAATCAGACTAATATAAAAATTTATTAGTTTGATTAATAATAAGATAATAATTTTAAAAAAAATTTTATGTAAATATATAATCCCAATAATACTAAACTAATACTATATAAATTTATATAGCATCAATCAACTTAAAGCAAAAAAGATCAAATTATACAGTCCGAAAAGATGTTCCTTAGGGGTGGGGTGGGGTAGGGAGGAGAGGGTGGGGTAAGGAGGAGAGGGTGGGGTAGGGAGGAAAAGGTGGGGGTAGGGAGGAGAGGGGGGGGAGGTGTTGGTGGTGTACTTTGCACCCTCGGTTTAATCCGATATTAATCAAAACCGGTTCGAAGAGACTTGTGTTTGCAAAGATTGGAATCGAGGTTAAATTGGGTGGACCGACATAAGACTTTTTGAAAGGCCTATTAAAGCCCAATTTCATAAAATTGGCCGACCTTTCTGAATTCATGGAGGATTTCCGAAAATATTGGAGAGGAAAAATGTTAAATCCCACATCGAGAATGAAAAAGAAAATCTTTCTCAAACCGCCTTAGGATTCATATAAATAAATGAGGATTTCATTCATTGGAGGCATCCAAAAATCGAGAGCAAAGAGAGAGACCTTAGAAGTGAAGAGCTTTAAGATCATCATTTTGCTTCTAGTTCTCCCTTTGTTCTCTAGGTCGTCAGTTTCCGACAACCTTATCTCAAGTTGTATTTTTCGAACTATCTTTTTAATAAAACGAGACTTTTGATTTGAATATTACTGTTTTACCCCTTTGTGTGATACTCCCTCTGTTTAGAATTATTTGATGTTTAAGTTTTTTGCACACAGTTTAAGGATTCATTTAATTTTTATTTTTCCTATACTAAAAATATTATTTATAATCCATTTAAATATCATTCAGCCAATAAGAAGACAATCTGCAGAATAGTAAAGGTCAAAAACTATAAAAATTCATTAAATTTTGCATTGAAAAGTGAGAACATCAAATAATTCTGAACAAAAAAAACCTTCTAAAACATCAAATAATTCTGAACAGAGGGAGTATTATATATCAACAATTGGCGCTGTCTGTGGGGAATTACTATAATATTTTCAATTTATCTCGATAAGAAGAAAGAGTTCGGCAATGGATGACCTAACTACTTCCAGAACAAGGAATGGCAACAACACCGTCGTACCTCCGGACGGCACCCCCCTAAAACATCAACGATAACCCTCCACAAGACCCAAACAGAACAGATCGGATCGATACGGAAACTCCAACGAACCAGACGGAGTTACCACCATCACCTGCACCAACGAACTCTGGACAGTTCGATCAAAACGCCATTCTCCAGGCACTAACAGCCCAGTTTCAAGAGATAACTAAACAAAACAACGAACGCATGGACCTCAACTCGGAAGGAAACCCGACTGGAACAGTCCGATCTACAGCCTTGGGATCTACTGTCAATCCAGTCACCCAACCGACCTTCAATCATGACAAAGAATTCGAAGCTATGAAGGCCAAACTTCGTGAAATCACCTTGCAGATTCACAAAGCAACCAGTGCCACTCCTGAGATCGATCACATTATCTAGGAGACATAAAAGACACCGTTCACTCCTAGAATCGCTAATACCCCTGTTTGTCATCATGAGAAGTTAAAGCTCAAAGCCTACGAAGGAGATTCCGATCAAAAGCATTTTATGACATATTTCGGCATTGTCATGAACCGCTATCAATTCCGGACGGATGAGGAAAAAGATGCAGTGAAGTGTCAGCTGTTTGTTGAAAACCTTGAAGGAGCCGCCCTCGACTGGTTCACTCGACTTGAAGCAAACTCCATAAACAGCTACACTTAACTCTCTACATCGTAAAATATTTTTCGATGTTTATCGGAAAGAAGACACGGAATGCCGAACTATGGCGAATGGTTCAAGGAGAAAACAAAAGTCTCTGCGACTTCATTAGACATTTCAAGTTGGTTGTCGCTCATTGGACGGTCAGTGATGAGGCTGCCCTCGAGTGTTTGCACAAGGCAACTCGGATTAAGTTGTCCTTCCACAAAGCGATCAAGCACAACCCACCACTTACACTCGAGGACGCACTACATCGGTTGAACTCGTATATTGCAGAGGAAGAAGAA